GTATGGGCAGTTTCACTCGTGATTGGAGGCTCGTGATTGGAGGAAGCCTGTTTGCAGAGACAGTATGGGCAGTTTCACTCGTGATTGGAGGCTCGTGATTGGAGGAAGCCTGTTTGCAGAGACAAAGTATGGTCAGTTTTGCAACCGCACGGTTCTCTCCTCGGCTTACTTGCTTGAATAAGACGCCCTTCAATTTTTAGCGTAAGGATTTTAGAAAAAGGTATCGTCTTATAGTTGGAAAAATACAGTAATGTATTTAAAATTAAGGTTAAATAAAGACAGGCAGCCCTGACAGACATACAGAACACACACAAAAAATCTGATTCTAGTTTTTCTAGTTACTGTCAATCAGCTGAAATAAGAGGTCAAAAGGAATTACAAAAATCACAACCAAATCACCCTGAGTTCCTGAAATAAGCCCTTGGGCACCAAATCTTTATTTGAATGTTATCATAAATTGTTTGGTAAAAGTATTCCTTTTAATAGTAATTTTATTAAAAATTACACTTACAATGATAAAAAACTAATACAAACTAAAAAAAAGAAAAAGGAAAAGAAAAAATAGCAGAAAAAAATAGAAAAAAAATAAGAATATAGGAAAGAAAAATATAAGAAATATATAAAGAAATGACTTCCCCCTTCATCTCAAGGGTAAACAATTTTAGTAACTTATTACCTTCTCTTAAAATACAACAAATAATCTCTTCTTCTCATATCCCATCTCAAATCTATAAACAAATCCTTAAAACCTCGTCATTTCAGTACTGATCAGCAAAAGTTCATTAAGGCTTACCGGAGATAACAGCATATCTATTTTAATCTTGATCAAATAAACCAACTTTACCTTCCTCCCCTTTACTTTTAACAATCTTGATCTTCAGTCCCTTCAAATAATGTCCTAGAACTTGATTTCTTTTCATTTTTTCTTTGTCCCCTCTCATAAAATTCTTAAAAGCTTTAACAAGCCTCTTTTGTAAATCCAGTATAGGAAAATTATCCAGGTCACTCTCTTGGGTTATTTGTGTATCCCTTTAAATTATTAAGACATCAGCCAGTTTCTTTTGTATGTTCAATATAGTATCTTTTTCCATATCATTCTTGTAGCCTGTCATTTATAAATCCATTTTCAGATCAGTCTCAGTCTTGTCCAATAAAACTTGTTCTCTTCCATAACATGTTTAATTCCTTCTAATTCCCTCTAGTGTCCAACCTTCAAAGTCCCATCCTATATGTTTTTTTTTAAAGAATACAAAACAAAAGCATTTTCACACAGGAAGGATTCTTATAATTATTTTCAAAATCTTATTTCAAATCCATCTGGACCCTTAGTCCGTTTGTAGCATTCTAAAATCAAAGTTCTAATCAGCCTTTTGCTGTTTATTAATTTTTTTTAATCCTTAAACTGTATTTAATGCTTGTTTCACTAAGGATTGAAGAAAACTCACCAAATATTTTCAGACTTGTTAATCCAAAGGTTCCTAATAGTTGAAAAGCAGTTAACAAGCAATTTCTGAAAGCAATTAGAAAAGGAACTATGCAAACCCAGTGTCCTTTTGAAGAAGCCAACTGTGGTTTGAGCAAGATAGCTATTCCCTCATCTCCCAGAGCTCTAAACTCTCTGGAGACCACTGTCTTGCAGTCTCCTTGCGAGGAGCAACTGTCTGAAGCACTTGTGGGCAATCTTGTCCCAAGAAGAATTACGAAGAGCCAGCCTACTTACTGGCTCTGTAGTTGTCAGCTCCGCTTTTAGCGGAGCCATCTTCAGTTCACTATTTCTTCCCCGGAAGTACTGGCAAAAGCATTCCTGATTTACAACTCTGTGAAAGAAAACAAGGAAGCATTCTTTGGAGAACAATTTTTCTATTTTGCCATTAGGCCAAGCAAATTTAAGCCTGTTGGCAACTTCACATCAGTGAGATTTAGCTTTTGCTCTGGAAAATAAGAAGCCTGGGGAAATACTTTGTTAGGCCCATGGCATTCTCGGGTAATCATCCAGAAAGTTTTTCCAAAGAGTGCAAGGCTTACAATGATTCATTCCACAAAACAGCATGCTAAAGGTCTTAGACATCTACTCCAATGAAATTGATAGGCAGTATGAGGACAAATCACTTGTCCTCTAGTAATCTGAATGTCAAGATTGACATGGTTCCTAATGAACCCACCAAGGCACTATCTTGCCCAATTTTGAGAGAATGATTTTTAGCTTAAGCAGTTGAGGATGTAAACAAGAATCTTGCAGCAGTGTACACTTGACCTTTGTCTATTATGAATTCATCACATTTAGCTTGGGTAGATGTATCCAAGGAACAGCTAACACCGCATAATGGGTTAGAGTGATATTAACTGACTTTAAAGAGGATACCATATGTCCACTCCAAAAAATGCCTCTCTGGACTGAGAAGTGATAATTTTCAGATGACTTTGAATGCTACCAACCGATGCTTAGGTGCCACAAGTTGCTTCCCCAGAAGTGACCTTTTCAAATACTATGTTATTCCCAAGTGAGATGATCTGGCATTTGGCCTCTTCTTGTCAGTGATTAAAAGCTGACTTGATTTCTTGGGCATTTGACTGACTATTGCCAACTATTCCTTAATAACTATTGCATTATTTTATGATAGAACAAATATA